CCCACCCCCGTAGCCACCGCAGCTCCCACCCGGCCCCTGTGCCTCCTGCCTGCCCTGGGGCAGAGGAGGGCTCCAGGCCTGGGAGGGCGTCCTTGGGAAGAAGCAAAGGCTTTCTGCTGGGTCAGCTAAAAGGGCGGTGGTGGCCTTATGGTGAAATGAAGGTACAGAAAGCACGTTTCGTGTTTCCTAAGTGCTGGGAGAATATGTCACTTAGTGGAACCGCAGCAACAACAAAAACCCGCTGGGATCCAAGGCTCGGGAAAGGAAGGCCCCGTGGACTTTGAGGCACGAACGTCGATTATAACAGTAATGGCTCGTACTTAAAATTTAATGAAAAGCATATTGTTGGTTCACTAAATCACTGGCCATTACTCAGTCTGCTGCGTATTTGACGATTTATTCTGCCTCAATCAACAGCATCTCCTTTTCTGCTTAGAGAACAAGGCATGTTGACAAAAGCTTCTTCCCCGTTTTTGCTGATACTCAAAACAGACGTCCAATTGGCAGCCCCCACTAGGTGGCGCTCGCTGCCCTAGCTTTCCACCGCGCAGAGAGAAATTTGTGACTTTTAAGTTTTATAAATTCTGGTAAAAACAGGTCACTCCACAATAACAAAATAAAAATTAGGTTAGGCTACCAATTACAATGCCTGATCTCTTTTTTTTCCGGATTAACTTCAAGGAGAAAACGATTTGATAAATACTCATTGCATGCCTACGTTTAAGAGGTGGGGGCTCAGGAACGAACAAGAGAAAAACACTGCTCTCAGGAAGCCGACAGGCTAATCCAGAGTTTCCTGAAATGGGAGTACTAGGCGTGTTCTAGGAACACCTGCTTCTAGACCTTAATTCTAAGAGTCCTTGAAGGACATTTTGAACCGGGCGATAGCAGTAATAAAGATAGATACGCTTGGCACAGCTGCAATGACAAAAAGAACCAGCCGGTGTCAGGAACGCCGGCCCCACCCACTGACGGGGCCTGCTCCTGGGGGATGGCAGTGGTCCCACAGGAGACAAGGTCCCGCAGCCAAGGCAGAGCTCCTGGGCCAGGACATGGGCAACGTTAGGCCCTCGGATCCACCACGATAAACACCCGGCCTTCACAGTGAACTTCCCTCGCCTGGGAAGCAAAGGTATTAGACCTTGCCCTTCCTACTGATACAAAACACATTTCCCAGGGGTCTGGCCCTGCCTCCGCGTTCCAAACGGCGCAGCCCGAGAGTTTCTTTTCTCTCCCTGCTCCCACCCGGTCCCGCGGGCTGTGTAGTTAAGTGTCTTAAATATTCGCTGGAATAAAACACGGGAGCGGGCTGTGGGCTGAAGCCCGGGGATACACCTGCACCGCTGAGGCCCATGGGCTGCGGGGCCTGGGAGGGCGCGCCCTGACCGTGGCCCTGAGAGGGCGCTGCGCCTGCTCCCGGCCCCCGCGCCCGCGCCCTCGAGGCGCCCGCACAGCAGCGCACCCGGCTTCCAGGCGGACAGGCGGGCCCCACGCAGTCACGGCCACCAGGCCTCCAAGGACGTGTAGGCAGGGCCAGGGGGATCTTTAGTTACATTTAGTTACATTTTTAAGTATTGAAATGTTACTAATACCTAAAAAAAGTTTAAAATACACTTGCCTTAAGATTTTATTATAAACTTTAAAATTGCCTGATTAATAATCATCTTCAAATCAAAATCTACTTTTCATTAACTACCTACATGTTAGATTTAATTCAAGCTCTAACAGGCACTTTTGTTGAGCCTGAATTATTAAATACGATTTACAAGGATCAAATTAACAAATTCAAGAAAGTTATTTACACCTCAGCTAAGCAAATGAAATATTTGACATAATGCCCAGTCGTCTTTTCTCATAACTGGTTAAATAATGGAAAATCTCCTTCTATTTGTGAAAACATAAATATTAGTTCTCCTTAAATATTTCTGATGAGCAATTAAAATGTTTTCAATCTATAGCTTAAATCACACAATTCTTTTCTTTTATTAATAACTATTGATATTTTTGGCATCTATGGAAATTCAATGCACACTTCAAAGTTGTTATAAATTTAAATAAACCCTCTCTTTTTTGCCAAAAAAGTATTTTCACAGTATTAATCAGAATAATTACTTCCCAATATTTCTTTTAAAAAATTGATTAAATAATTTTACAACAGGGTTTCCAATGAAAAGTGGATCTCCTTGACACCCCTGTCTGCTACTTCCAAGGCAGCTAGTGTTGCCAGGATTTTCTGCATTCTTCCAGAATATTCTATACTATATTAGCACAAATACATGTGTATGAAGTGGCTGTTTGCAATTAACACTGGATTTTGGAAACAGTTTTAGATCTCAGCTGTCTCCCACAGTATGCATTTTATTGTAAATGATTTTATTTATTTTCCATTGATAGACTTTTAAATTATTTCCAGACTGTCAATTATACGATGTTCGAATAAACACCTTCATATATCGTGATTACACATAAATGCAAGAATATGTGTATACTTAGAAATAAAATTGTGGTTAAGTTATACTTGCATTTAATTTTGATGGATGTTGTGAAAATGCCTTCCTTAGAGAGTGTATCATTTCACACTTCAACAACGTGTGAGGGAGCTCACTTACCACGCCTTTGCCGCCCATCGCTTCACAGATGGACTTGACAGAGCACTGTCGTTTTAACCTGCACATCTCACTTAAAGTGGAACATCTTTGCCGATATTTGAGGGCTATTTATATTTGCTTTACGATAATCGACCTACTGACATTCTCTGCCAATATCCTGTTAGATAGTTAAAACTGTGATTGATTTATAGACTCTCTTTCTATATTAAAGACAGTAACCGTATATGTATCACCATTACCAATACTCCTGGTGTATTTTTTTCTTTTGATGGTGTATTCTTATCCATGATTCTTTATTTTTAGGCAGCCTTCCTAATATTTGCTTCAACTTTTCTTAGATGTGTTCTCCTTCCGTCTAAAGATCTACTAAAATGTATTTTCTGGATTTTATTTTCGTCAGTGTGTGTGGCCTGAGCTGGCTTCAGCCTGCTTGGGACCGTGATTGGGGTGGGGGAAGAGCTCTCTCCTCCCAACGCGGCGTTGCTGTTTCCAGGCTTTTCGATATGTCAACCTGGCTACCTGAACCTAAGTCCTCCGTGATTGCATCAAACCAGGATCTGGGCACTCCTGGGGAGGGATTTGGCAGATGTAATTGAAATGCCTAATTAGTTAATTTAAATTGAAGAGATTATCCTGAACTAATCAGTCCAGAGTCCTTAGAAGAGAGTAGAGGCTTTCCTGAGAGAGAGAGAAAAGGGTGGGGAGGGTCCAAAACTGTCCCCTGGCTGTGGGTGACAGCTTTAGCATGCCTGAGAGGCCCCTTCCTGACCTGATCGCCCCTTCCTGGCGGCCACTTACCCAGCTCCTGCAACTGTGTGAGGCGAATCCCTGGGCTAAGTCTATATGTGGGGCGTGTATGTGCACATAGATGTGTATAGGTATTATGTATGTGCATGTGTGCACTGTATATGTACCTATACGTGAGGGTGGTCCCGCCCCTGGTTGAACTCTAACTGACACACCTGGAAACCACAGGCTGAGATGAGCGGTCTGCTCTGCCCGCAGTGAGCGCCACCCTCTGGGACTGCCCCGGGCCAGGCTATGGGCTGGCATAGAGACTCTGGGCCCTTATGAAGAGAGTGATGAGTGAGCAGGGGCAGCCGGGGGGGGCTCGTCTACAGGGCTCCTGCGGCCACCGGGCAGCCCTGTGAGCGAGCGGCATGGAAAGCTGGGAGTGAGGGGCTCTGAGGCTGCCGACGGATCCCACCCAAGTCATTTGTCAGAACCCCATGTGATGAAGAACTCTAGAATCTTGGGTTTACTGCCACCCACGTGGGAAGTGGCTGATTGGATCTGAATTTGTAACCATAACCTTGAAAGGATGATTCAGGACTGAAAGGCACCCCAAATCAGAACACACCGGAGTCAGCTCAGCTGACGGGGGTGCCACCAGGCCATTTCCTACTGGACCAGAGTCCGTGAGGTGCCGTCCTGGCTACTGAGCAGAGCCCTCTCCGAGAGGAAGGGGAGAGTGCTGCCAGGGGTCCAGGCCGGGGGGGCCAGGGGTGGCAGCTGTGGAGAATTTTGTCTTGGATCAGGGCAATGCTGACCTTTTAAAGGCCAAGGCCTCAATCACCTCCTGGCCAAATTGCGGGGCAACAGGAACTAACAGAGAGGATGTATCTCCTTGGCGACCTGGTCCCCAGCTCCTCACATACTGCCCCTGGCATGGGTAGCCCTCCCTGTCACCCCCAGAAGCGATGCCCATCATAGCTGACATTTCTGTGGGTGCCCTACACTCAGTGGGGCTGGGGTGTTAAAATGAAGGTATTCCATTCAGGTTCGTCACCTTCCTTCCCCTCAAACACCACCTTAAACTCACTGCTGTGTCGCCACGTTCCATGGTCCACAAGGCTAAGAAACCGTGGAGCATGGCTCCCTGCTTGGAACACACTTACTAAATAAAACCTCAGGGCTTTTATGCTTTTTTATTTGTTTCTCATAAGTACTTCAGACAATCTGCTTCATGATAAGCTGAAATGTTTGGAAAATACTAACTATATGAAAATGGGAAGAATTATTAATAAAAAATCAATTTTATACCAACGATGAAAGTAGAAAAGAGAAAAAAAGCAATCCATATACATAATATATGGATTTTGAGGGATTTTCATTACAAATAAAAGTCATTTAAAAAAACCTTTTCATTTCCCTCATAATTCAATCACATAGCAAAATATAAAAATGCATCATATGTCAATCTTACTGCCTCAGAAACAAAGGGGTGTTTATGTCAACTGGTGTAAATCCTTCAATTTCATCCCATCTGTCCCCGTTATATTTAAAGCTCTGTGCTGGGAATTCACAGCCGTGAGGAAGCTATGAGGCACCTGATGTCTATTAAACACACAAGCAGAGCCCTCGCTGGCAGCACACCCACCCTGGGGTCCCTTCCTCAGCCTGTGGTCACAGCATCAGTCACCGTAACACGGCAGCAGAGAGTCCTGCGAGCTCCAAGGTGACCCGGCTCCCTTGGGAAAGACTTTCCGGTGCGACACTTAGCTCCCACCTGCCACGCTGGCGCAGGTGGCCTCGAGCACACAGCCCAGCAGAGACGGCACGCGCACAGCGACGGACGAGGCAGCGAAGTGACCGGGACCTACATGGAAAGCACAGCGCCCGCCC